AATTAATCATACCACTATCTTGTCAAGGTCCATCTGCTTTAAAGGAGGGGGCATCCTGGCAATTTTACACCAGTTTAATTACTTTTCATTCCTCCGAAATTGACCTTTAATTCCCTGCATTGAATTCAATTATATCAATGCGTGGTAATGTTGTGAATTAGAGATTGTGGATTATGGGATGGATGTAATGTGATTGATAACAGCTGCCACACAGAAATGCTGTATTATTATTATTATTATTATTATTATTATTATTATTATTATTATTCACGTGAAATAATTGCATTTCTCGTGTATACATTTCACCTATGTCTGTTTGAATGGGATTTGTGCCCAACTCGATCGCCTCTTTTCTCCACCGCACCCCTTTTTGACCGCGTTTGGCTCAACAATGGGAGAGAGAGAGAGAGAGAGAGAGAGAGAGAGAGAGAGAGAGAGAGGTATAGTTGTTGGAGGGGGCGTTTCCCCAGTATGGCTATTATGTGTTCTTTCTGTAGTCTTCCTCCAGATTTCTGCCGCCTCCTTCTTCATCTCAGCTGTTTTACCCCCGTTGGCAGGATTTAACAGCAAGGGGTGAGTTACTGTTTATTCCTAAAATCTTTTATACACAGTTAGAGAGAGAGAGAGAGAGAGAGAGAGAGTGTGTGTGTGTGTGTGTGTGCGTGTGTGTGTTTCTAATTCGCGACAGCATTTCTAAAGACTCTGTAGTACGCAGTGATGCGAAAACCGGTTACTTGAAACGGTTCGCACCGTTATGATTTTTTATGGCGTATTTAAAAAATACACAAGCCTCTTTCGTTTCTAGCTTTATCCGCGAGTGACACTTTGCAAAAAGCTACGTTAAGTGGGAATAGTAGTGTGTGTGTGTGTGTGTGTGTGTGTGTGTGGCTTTTCCCCTTCCGCTCGTGCGCTGATCTGTATTCGGGCTGAGTGCAGTATTCACTACTCGTTGTCCATATGAGTGTAACCGAGCGCTCAGTGCTCAATGCGCTTTCCGCCGGCGCAACCCTCTACACTCTCACTGTGCACTCTAGTGTGCACTACACTCTCAGATATAAAGCGACCAGACTGTACTTTTCCCTGTAGCCTAGTCTGGTACCATCAAGGAGCATCTTTTGCACCTTTAAACTGGGAAGGTCTACAATAGCTTGTAGCATGTGTTGCTTTAAAGGTACATCAGTGGTCCTTAAGGTCCAGTTATGCACTTTAAACGATTAAGGTTGAAGGTACTAAAGGTGCAAAATATGTACCGTTAAAGGTACTACTCCAGTGACAATGGAAAATTTGCTACTGTTATTTCTGAGAATGTCGTGTATGTGCGGCCTATAGGCTCATAAGTCCAGCAGGTCAAATCCAGCTACCTCCTAAACAAGCAAAAGAGAACGGATTAAATGAGCTGGTCTGTTGAGGGGTCTGATTTAGTCATGGTGATGGACATCATAAACAAAATGTGTAATTCAATTCATACTGTGTTTAAGTCCGTCAACATATTCTGCCTAGTCACTTTTGTTTTTGCTGTGGGACTACATATACATATGAGCTTGTCATTCAGCTGAGTTCTGACCACTGGCACAGCAGTAAGTAAGGAAGTAGCCAGTTCTGTATAACATTCGAAATTGGCCAGAAGGGTGCACGGGATCACATTACTCTACCCTATGACATGGATATGTGGCAGATGGTCAGACGTGTGTTTGGGCGCTATTTAAATGACACTAAGGATGAATGCTATTGGATTAGGGCGTTTTTTCTCAGATAGCCTACTTTTGCGATGTGTTGTTTTTTTTCTACTTCAGCCTACTTAGTTCATGGGTAAATAGCAGTGAAAGCAGGGGCGTAAAAAAGCGAGGTGATGAGATATGGTAGATATAGTAAAGGGAATAAACAAGTGAGTTACAGTAGAAAGAGAAACAGAGGGAGAGGTGGCATGGTGTGATCAGTGTGTGGTGGCGTGTGCGTCGGTAGGCATGGCAGGGTGAAGATGAACTCTCTGAACTCCTTCCTTGCTCAGTTAGATTCATATTGATCAAGGGAGGGGGAGAGAATAAGCGGACACACACACGCACACACTCACACACACTCCCTCTCTCTCTCTCTCTCTCTCACTCACTCACTCTAGCTTCTGGCAGTCCCCTGCCTTCCTGCGTACTTTCAGATTGTTCTTTGTAATAGACTGAAAGAGAAAGGCAGATTTAGATATAGACAAAAGGCATTCAAATACTCAATTCAGTTCAGTTCACTGTTTTGACTCTGCTTAAATACAGCTTTCCTGTGAATGCAGAAAGGAAAGCACAGCATACCGGTGCTAAAAGCGTACCAAGCTTTGAGTACAGCTATATTGAGCTCTGCAGGAACATCTGGATATGGCATAATTTCTCAGAGGAACTCAGAGAATCTAATTCTGTAGGAATACTACAAATGAGCTGACTGACGGTAGGAAGGTCTGTGCTTACTTGATTCGTTCTGTGGAAATGAAATTGACTTTGTGAAGTGTCTTTCTAGTTCTCTAGAATTAAAGGGTGGACTCTGGTTTCAGTTGTGCATCATGTCCAAGTAATCCTATCATATACAGATTTAATATCTATTTTCATCTTTATAGGAAGCATAAAATATTAAATATTGTGAGTGATTTTTTTTTGAATAGTGGAATTGCTCATCAGTAATGATTTCTTAATATGGCCTAAAATTGGATGGCCCGTGCAGAAAATAGGATAATTAATAAGTCCAAAATATCTAAATGAAGACAGGTCCATTTCAGTGCAAAAGAGACGAACATAAAGGGAGGAAGTGAGAGGGGGAAAAAAGGGGCAAAGAAAGTAGTAGTGTGTGTGTGTGGCAGATGTGTGGGTGTGTGTGTGCTCCCACATTAATGGGTGCTTATGTATGTGTGCACATGTGTGTATCAAGGCATAAGAGCCTCCTGTTAAGCAACCAGCAAACCAGTAGCAAGATCCCTCCTCTGGGAGCTGTCCTTGGTTCTGATGTGTCCCCCCCCCCCCACACACACACACACACCAACACACACACAACAAATATCTCTCTCTCTCTCTCTAACTCACACATGTGCACATACACACATTTGCGTGTGGAGATTGACATTCTCACCCTTTCCATTTGGCATGAAGCAGGGGTGGGGGTGGGTGACACAGAGAGAAAGAGAGGGGAGTAATAGGTTAATAGGTAAGGTAGGACAAGTAACAGGAGTAGCAATAAAGAAAGGGAACTGGAGGAAGAGAGAGAGAGAGAGAGCGAGAGAGAGAATAGGGGGAATATGGGAAGGCAGCAAGGGAGTGGGAGAGGGAAGGAAAAACAGAACAGCTGTGTGGTAATTGGACTCCCTTTAGTATTGTAGCGCATACATTGACATCTGTCTTGTAATTGGCTTCCCTGTATCCTCTCTCAGCTTGTGTTCCGCTAAATGCCAATTTTGGCGTTCCAAAAAAAAGAGAGAGAGAGAAATCTGCAGAGAGAGGTGTATGTGTGTGCATGCATCTTTGTGTGTTGCTCAACAAAAAGCATTTTTCCTATCCCTCACATTCCACACGAGACCTCCTGAGTTGCTAGAGAATCTAGCATTCTGTTTTCACAGTTGAGCTTCCTCCGCTTCACCTGTTCAAGGTGTCTATTGGCTGCCCCCTTAATTAGCACCTGTTTCAATTCAACGGCTGCGATTAGAACAGTCCGTGTGGGCTCAATTATGCCTGACGTTATTGAACACATACAGCTACAGCTACAGCTGAAAGGGTTTGTTATCCTTCTGTTTTTTTTCCTAATTCATGCTTTCATGATTCTTTGTGCACTGCAATGGGACATCAGAGAGTAGTGAGGAGTGGAAACGTGGTGGCTGGATATTGTCCGCTACTTCACTAGAACTTATGATGTCAAATAATAAATGACAAAATGATAAATCAGAATATCCTCTGTGTTTTGGGTTTACTGTAACCTGTAACATTTCTCTAAAAGAGTGGATTAAAACAGACAATGCATCTTTTTACCCAGGTTTTTTTTTGTTGTTGTTCTCGTTGTTAAAATAATTCTGCTTCAACCAATTTGTGAGAAGCTTTGCTTAGCAGCAGCCCTCAAATTGCATAGATAAACATGGTAAATAATTGATGCAGCATGAGGGAACAGGGGAGCCTTTGGGCTGCAGACCTGACATCTGTGATCCTGTTGCTATGTGTGGCCCTAAATCACACCTTTGCACAACCCATCTAACAGACACGCACAAATTTTTATATAACTATATATATATATATATATATATATATATATATATATATATATATATATATATATATATATATATTGTGTGTGTGTGTGTGTGTGTGTATGTATATATACATAGATAGATAGATAGATAGATAGATAGATAGATAGATAGATAGATAGATAGATAGATAGATAGATAGATAGATAGATATACAGCTGACAGGAGTTGAACTTGATGTTGTCTTCAGCTGTTGAAGCCCATCCATCTTGGCGTGTTGCGCGTTTTGAGATAACTTTCTACTCCCCACAGTTGTAAAGAGTGGTTATTTGAGTTACCATAGTTTTTCTGTCAGTTTGGTGATTCTCCTCTGACCTCTCTCATCAACAAGGCGTTTTTCACCCACAGAACCGCCGGTCACTATTTTTATTTTCATCTGGTGTAAACTATGTAGACTGTTGTGCATGAAATTCTCAGGAGATCAAAAAGCACCAACAACCATTCCATGGTCAAAGTCAATAAGATCACATTTTGTCCACCATTCTGATATTTTATGTGAACATCAGGTCCTTGACCTGTATCTACATGAGTTTATACACTGCACTGTTCCAACATGATTGGCTAATTACATGAATGACCAGGTGTACAGGTGTTCCTATTAAACTGGCTGGTGAATGTGTATATCTTAGTCTTTTGTTATTGTTATACACTGTTATCCTCACTATTCATGAGCATTTCTATGGAAGCATTTCTATGGATTTCTATGCCCTGCAATGCAGGCCAGTCTTTATACAGAGCGGCTGTGGCTCAGGTGGTAGAGTAGGCTGTCTGTTAATCGTAGGGTTGGTGGTTCGATCCCCGGCCCACATGCTTTGGGCAAGACACTGAGCCCCAAGTTGCTCCCAATGGCAGGCTAGCACTTTGCATTGCAATTCTGGTGCCATTGGTGTATGGGAGAATGAGAAACAGTATAAAGTGCTTTCAAAACCGCTAAGGTTAAAAGGTGCTATATAAGTGCATTTACCATTTATACCACCCCAAGGGCTTAACAAACAGCACAACGAAAACTGCAATTACTGCATATTCTATGGTTTATATCTTTTCACCACATGTGGGCTTCAATAATTGTACTATAGATAATTCCAGCAAGAAGCAAGCAGTGACTTCTAGTTTCCTGTTTCCAAATACACATCTCTCTGAGCTGATATGTCCATGGCTATGCATTTTTTAAAAAATATATATTTTTTAAGATTTCTGCATATAAAAATTGACATAACCATGTACAGCAGCTGCAGGCCAAACTTCTCCTGTGTGTAATTTGATGATATATGATCTTTTCAACAATTAGATTCCACTACCACTGTCACTTTTCATATTGCCATAGACAAAATTATGCAGAGTATAGCATATATATTCTGAGATATAGCAGAAATATGACATTTACATTGGGTAGAAATACATAAGACCATACATATGTCTTTGTAGCGGTTCGGCAATTTATTCTTTTAAATATATGTAGCTAGCACGTTTTTACAGCAGACCCATGAAATCTTTTGATTAAATATGTGGTTTCAGCACCATCAAAGTTGCCACATTTGCAGCTTTTAACCGACAAAGTCTTATAGCTGCACACACACACACACACACACACACACACACACACACACACACACACACACAACACACACACACACACACACACACACACACACACACACACACACACACACACACACACACACACACACACACACACACAGAGTCTACAGTCTTTACTGAAAGACAGAGAGAGATGAAGGGAGGTGAAGGGGGATCTTTGGCTCAGCATTACAAAGAGGCTGACATATTTTTGGTTCTGTCTTTAATGTAGCTTTTTCATGACAGTGAGTGTTTCTCGTAGAAATCTAACCCTTTAAAAAGATGTTTTTCAGGATGCACACAGGTTGCTTTTCAAGCTGCGTCTGTGTTTTTTTATGCTTTGATATTTTAGCTTTGCTCAGTGCACGGAAAGGAGTTTTCCTTTTTGCATTGATTTCCAGATGAATTAAGAAGACCTACATGTATTCTTCAGTTCATTCGGGGCATTCAGAATGGGCATATGTAAAACTCTATTCCATCTCTCTCTTTTATTATTTTTTTTATTTCTCAGTCTCAGTGTGCTGTCAGTGTATCCTGCACCCCCAGTAAAGAGCGTGTTTGTATGAGTGCGTGCTTGCATGTGATTGTGTGATGTGTGAGTTTATGCGTGAGTCGCACTCACAGCTAAATGCCAGAATAGTTGTTGACAATGCCTGGGGTTAAGATACTTGCAAACACTAAATTCTGTATGTCACAACTTTATTTGCACACAGTGGTTAAACATGCAACTGAATTTAGCTTCTGCCTGAAGCTTTAGTCTCCCTTTTTCATCTCTCTCTCTTTTTGTCTGCCCACAAGAGGCGACTGTGGTACTCAACTGTGCCAAGCTGGCATCGTGAGGAGTAGGGGAGGCAGTGTGTTGTCCTCGTCAGCCCTCCTGGTTGTAGGTGGGCACGTGTGAATTTCCATTCACTCGTTCCCCTGAAACCATACGTGATTGCAGGATGATATATATATATATATATATATATATATATATATATATATATATATATATATATATATATATATATATATCATACTTTTTGTTGTTTAGCAAATAGAATATGTTCCTGTCTTCTCTCCCAAACTTTCCTGCATCCTTTTAATGATGCTATTTTCCAGTAAATTTCTGTGAAGATCTACTGATTGCTGATTAACAGTAACATATGTACAGTTACATTAGAGCTAATGTTTTCATTCACCATGGTTTTCAATGAAAACAAATAGATATACTGTGTTGATCTACATACAAACTAATTGTAAGTTAAAATCAAAAGGGTGATCTATTCTGCAACAGAGGAATAAGCCAAAACATAAGGCAAAATCAATATCATGATGGTGTGCCATGTCGTTCTCAGTCGCCAGCAGCGTATGACATCTGGTTGTTTTATAATAAATATATATAAATAAAAAAGTGAGCAAATTTTTGCTCAAGCTGTTTCTGTATTTTGTCCTTTATGTTACACTTGACTGTATCTATTGAGTATGTAATTACCTTATTATTTCTATTTTGCTGAGTTACTTAATCATACACCTCCAAATACTGCTCCTTGTGAGTTATTCTGCTTTTCCTGTAGGACAAATCATATCAGATTAAAATGATAGATTGCCTTCTATAACTCTAAAACCTCAGCAAATCTCACCTGTAACCTGTAAAAAAAAAAAAAAAAAAAAAACAGTATGATGCTTCATTCCTTAAATCATTTTACAATATTTACTTCAATGAGATGTCTACAGTCTTTATTATGTGTCTCTTGATGTTTGTACTTCTACATGTTTATTCATCGTTAGTTATTAAATTGGATGAACGTTTAGTAGGCACAAAGCCACTCCAAGGTATTAGTTCGTTTAGAACTCAACATTTTCGCCATTTATTCAAAATGCTTCCTTTTTTCTCTCTTCCTCTTTTCAGACCTTGGATTTTGCTTCCAAATCTTTTATTCTTCCTGCCCTCCCACCATCTAGAGGAGCGTCAAGAGCAACGAGAGATGAAACAAAGAAAAACAGAGAGTGAAAGAGAGAGAAAAAAAGCAAAATAGGTGGAGGAGGGCGGTGGCCCCTGTTTGTGCTCCTTTCTCGACTACGGGTATTCTTGGGTTGATAATACAGATGTCGATGTTATTGCTTGAGAATACGCGTAGCTGAGAGGAAGCCGTGTTCATCTGACGCCTACGGTGGAATAAATCAAATAACACAGCCTAGGAAATTAAAGAGATAAAAAGCATGATGGTGTTCTCGTGTGTATTGAGGGTGAGTTTCTTTCTTTCTTTCTTTCTCTCTTTCTTTCATTCTTTCTGACACACACTCCATACTCTTTCTGGCTCCAGTGCTTAAGGAGTCTGGGATCATCCAGCATGGCATCATGTGTTTTATTGTGTGCTGATGGAGCCTGGAGTGGACAGGTGCCCTTATCAAAGCTCGTGGACCAGAGAGGAAATCCAATAAGTCTGTGTGTGTGCTTGAGCGTGCATACATGCGTGTGTGTGTGTGTGTGTGTGTGTGTGTGTGTGTGTGTGTGTGTGTGTGTGTGTGTGTGTGTGTTTGTGTGTGCGCACAAGGCGCCTAGAGATGGTCCGGCTCCAGCTCCTGGGGCTGAGGTAAATAAGGTCAGAGGGAAAGAGCAGCTCCATGAGGAGCTGCTGCATCAAAGCCCAGAGATCCATCACAATAGCAGCCTCCAATCCTCATACAGCCTGCAGCAGAGAACGCTCGAGCCAGAGGCAGGGAGACAAAAGACGTGACATTCTGTCACTCCAGGAATTAGTCTACCTGGAGAATCCTATTGTGCATGTGCAAAGGATCCAATGTTCAACATGATGCAGCCTGTTTGAAATCGACTAAAGGCTTGGCCAGGGGCATTGCAGCTCTTTTATATGCATCATAGCATCAGCATCTTTACATGGTATTAACACTGAGAATTGCAATGTCATAATGATGTAAAGCTGAGACGTAGTCTAAATAAAATCAGCACAAATGCAACCCAATTATAGATATGGACCAAACTAAAGAAACGCTGTGTAATTTCATTCAGCCCACACGAACTTGCGAAATTTAATACTGACGCATATTCAATATTGATATATTGAAGCCTGCAGTGCACCGTCTAGCATTTTCACATTAGAGGATTATCATATGACAGACTCCAAATCCCAAAATGCATCACCAGTTCTATCAGATGCATGTGTACAACAGCACCACAAAAAACAACAGAGAGTTATTGGACAGTTTCAGTAGAGAGTTGGGACTGAGTGCAGGAATGCTGTTAGCAAATATATCAAAGTATGATTTGTTTTTGTAAAGCTGCAGCAGTCATGAAACAAAACTATTTATATCAGCATTATGTCACAACGTTAAATATGGTAACCTGACTCATGAGCAGAACTAAAAGTTGCACACAGGAAGGTGTGTTTACAATAGTGAAGATTTATTATTTGTGAAGAACTTTGTGAACCTTGTGAAGATGCCAAATGTGAAAATATATATTTTTTCAATAGTTGGCCTATTGAAAAACCTACATTAATCTATAATCAAATGAATCTATTATTATGTAATAATTAACAGCCTAAAAGTAAATACATGTGAATGTCCTGTTTGTTATGCATTTGTAACATCCCACGTTCTGTTTTAAGAGCTGAAATTACTGATGTAATATATGTTAAATAAATAGTAAGTTAAATAGGATTTTAACTAGAATCAAAATTTATGGACCAATGGAGTATACAAAAAAGCCAATGTCTGTGATTTCAATTGATTCATTCATTTTTTATAACTGCTTTATCCTAATCAGGGTTGTGTTGAATCTGGAGCCTGTTCCAGGAACACTCGGAACCAAAGTTATTTCAACCTGCACCATCTGATGGCATGACATTTGAGTGACAGTGGCTCAGTCCTAGCCATGTGTGAATTTTAGGTTAGTGCCTGTGTGGTTACTAAGCCTCTTTACCGTAAGTGAAGGCTCTTATCCCTGTTTATTAGCTTTTTATGTAGATGTTCATGACTTTATATAGCCCATCTCATTTGGTTTTATCACACTTCGGTATAGTTTCTTACATTTAATAATGTAATTTCTTGCATTTAGCACTAACCGTTGCTCTGACTTGATCAAAGCTGGATATGCAGTAGCACTGTATTCAAAACCCTTCACTGGTATTCTGTTGGTAATACAGTGGTGATTTGAATATGATTTTCCGGGCTTAGGGTTGGTGAAACACATTCCCCCATTTGCTTATGTTGTGCGTCCGATTGTGAGGCC